GTGGTGGAGACAGGAGAGGTGTGTGTGTGTGGTGGGAGACAGGGAGGGAGTGTGTGTGTGTGTGGGGGAGACAGGGAGAGTGTGTGTGTGGTGGAGACAGGGAGAGGTGTGTGTGTGGTGGAGACAGGGAGGGTGTGGTGTGTGTGGTGGAGACAGGGAGGGTGTGTGTGTGGGGGAGACAGGGAGGTGTGTGTGTGTGGGGGAGACAGGAGGGGGTGTGTGTGTGGGGGAGACAGGAGGGTGTGTGTGTGTGGGGGAGACAGGGAGGGTGTGTGTGTGTGGGGGAGACAGGGAGGTGTGTGTGGGTGGAGACAGTGTGTGTGTGTGGGGAGACAGGGAGGGGTGTGTGTGTGGGGGAGACAGGGAGGTGTGTGTGGTGGAGACAGGGAGGGTGTGTGTGGGGGAGACAGGGAGGGTGTGTGTGTGTGGGGGAGACAGGGAGGGGTGTGTGTGTGGGGGAGACAGGGAGGGGTGTGTGTGGGAGGAGACAGGGAGGGTGTGTGTGGGGAGACAGGGAGGGTGTGTGTGTGTGTGTGGGGGAGACAGGGAGGTGTGTGTGTGGTGGAGACAGGGAGGGTGTGTGTGTGTGGTGGGAGACAGGGAGTGTGTGTGTGTGGGGGAGACAGGGAGGGTGTGTGTGTGGTGGAGACAGGGAGGAGACAGGGAGGGTGTGTGTGTGGGGAGACAGGGAGGTGTGTGTGTGGGTGGAGACAGGGAGGGTGTGTGTGTGGGGGAGACAGGGTGGGTGTGTGTGTGGGGGAGACAGGGAGTGGTGTGTGTGTGTGGTGGAGACAGGGAGGGAGGGTGTGTGTGTGGGGGAGACAGGGAGGGTGTGTGTGTGTGTGGTGGAGACAGGGAGGGGGTGTGTGTGTGGTGGAGACAGGGAGGGTGTGTGTGGTGGAGACAGGTGTGTGTGTGTGGGGGAGACAGGGACAGGGAGTGTGTGTGTGTGTGGTGGAGGGGGAGACAGGGTGTGTGTGTGTGGGGGAGACAGGGAGACAGGGAGGTGTGTGTGTGTGTGTGGTGGGAGACAGGGAGGGTGTGTGTGTGTGGTGGAGAGGGTGTGTGTGTGTGGGTGGAGACAGCCCCCTGGGTGTGTGTGTGTGGTGGAGACAGGGAGGGTGTGTGTGGTGGAGACAGGGAGGGTGTGTGTGTGGAGACAGGGAGACAGGGAGGGTGTGTGTGTGTGTGGGGAGACAGGGAGGGTGTGTGTGGGGTGTGTGTGTGTGGGTGGAGACAGGGAGGGTGTGTGTGTGTGGGGGAGACAGGGAGGGGTGTGTGTGTGGTGGAGACAGGGAGGGGGTGTGTGTGTGTGGGGAGACAGGGAGGGGTGTGTGTGTGGTGGAGACAGGGAGGGGTGTGTGTGTGGTGGAGACAGGGAGGGTGTGTTTGAGTGGTGGAGACAGGGAGGGTGTGTGTGTGTGGTGGAGACAGGGAGGATGTGTGTGTGGGGGAGACAGGGAGGGTGTGTGTGTGGTGGAGACAGGGAGGGTGTGTGTGTGGTGGAGACAGGGAGGGTGTGTGTGTGTGGTGGAGACAGGGAGGGTGTGTGTGTGTGGTGGAGACAGGGAGGGTGTGTGTGTGTGGTGGAGACAGGGAGAGTGTGTTTGAGTGGTGGAGACATTGAGGGTGTGTGTGTGCGGTGGAGACAGGGAAGATGTGTGTGTGTGAGACAGGGACGGTGTGTGTGGGGAGACAGGGAGGGTGTGTGTGTGTGGGGGGAGACAGGGAGGGGTGTGTGTGTGGGAGACAGGGAGGGTGTGTGTGGAGACAGGGAGAGTGAGTGTGTGTGTGGGGGAGACAGGGAGGGTGTGTGTGTGTGTGGGAGAGTGGGAGGGTGTGTGTGTGTGGGGGGGAGACAGGGAGGGTGTGTGTGTGGGGGAGACAGGGAGGGTGTGTGTGTGTGTGGGGGAGACAGGGAGGGTGTGTGTGTGGGGGAGACAGGGAGGGTGTGTGTGTGTGGTGGGAGACAGGGAGGGTGTGTGTGTGTGTGGGGGAGACAGGGAGGGTGTGTGTGTAGTGGAGACAGGGAGGGTGTGTGTGGGGGAGACAGGGAGGGTGTGTGTGTGTGGGAGACACAGGGGGTGTGTGTGTGGTGGAGACAGGGGGGGTGTGTGTGGTGGGAGACAGGGAGGGTGTGTGTGTGGGGGAGACAGGGAGGGTGTGTGTGTGGGAGGAGACAGGGAGGGTGTGTGTGTGGGGGAGACAGGGAGGGGGTGTGTGGGGGAGACAGGGAGGGGTGTGTGTGGTGGAGACAGGGAGGGGTGTGTGTGGTGGAGACAGGGAGGGGTGTGTGTGTGGTGGAGACAGGGAGGGTGTGTGTGTGGGGGGAGACAGGGAGGAGACAGGGTGTGTGTGTGTGGGGGAGACAGGGAGGGTGTGTGTGTGTGGTGGGAGACAGGGAGGGTGTGTGTGTGGTGGAGACAGGGAGGGAGTGTGTGTGTGTGGTGGAGACAGGGAGGGTGTGTGTGTGGGAGGAGACAGGGAGGGTGTGTGTGTGTGTGTGTGTGTGTGGGGGAGACAGGGAGGTGTGTGTGTGGGGGAGACAGGGAGGGTGTGTGTGTGTGAGGAGACAGGGAGGGTGTGTGTGTGTGTGGGGAGAGACAGGGGGGGTGTGTGGGGGGGAGACAGGGAGTGTGTGTGTGTGTGGGGGAGACAGGGAGGGTGTGTGTGTGTGGGAGTGTGTGTGGAGACAGGGAGGTGTGTGTGTGTGGGGGAGACAGGGAGGGGGTGTGTGTGTGGTGGAGACAGGGAGGGGTGTGTGTGTGTGACAGGAGACAGGGAGGAGGGTGTGTGTGTGTGGGGAGACAGGGAGGGGTGTGTGTGGGGGAGACAGGGAGGGGTGTGTGTGAGGAGACAGGGAGACAGGGAGGGTGTGTGTGGGGGAGACAGGGAGGGTGTGTGTGGTGGAGACAGGGAGGGTGTGTGTGGTGGAGGAGACAGGTGTGTGTGTGTGTGTGTGTGTGGTGGAGACAGGGAGAGTGTGTGTGTGTGGAGGAGACAGGGAGGGTGTGTGTGTGGTGGAGACAGGGAGGGTGTGTGTGGTGGAGACAGGGAGGGTGTGTGTGTGTGGGAGACAGGGAGGGTGTGTGTGTGTGTGTGGGAGACAGGGAGGGTGTGTGTGGGGGAGACAGGGAGGGTGTGTGTGTGTGTGGGGGAGACAGGGAGGGTGTGTGTGTGTGGGAGACAGGGAGGGTGTGTGTGGGGAGAGACAGGGGTGTATGTGGGACGCAGTGTAGACCATCTTCCTATAGAAGGGATACCAGTAATACTGGTCAATGTCTTATCTTTGGGTTTGATTGATTTTGATTGTTGCCGTCGAAGGCGGATAGTTTATTGTGCACCCCATACTCATCCTGTGAGCGGTAGCGCAAAAGCATTACAGAGAGCACAAAAGGTCTTTATCAGACCTCATCCTAGATTATTACATAAACAAATTCATCTATCCTTCACACCTTATAGTTACAATGTCAGCTAGTTACAGAGAAAGTGCTATATCAAGAGCTATATATTTACAGTAAGTCATCATACATTAATGGTAGGTCTTATCGCTAATACATAATAGTTTGGCCAATGGGGATATTACAGAGTCATAGGGGAGCTTCTATTTATTATTAGCCTTTACAATACACTACTTGTTTCTGAATCTCATATGTCGTTCATCTACTGGTAGCGAAATGTGGATACAGTGCAAGGATTTCAGGTAATTTATCCATGGTAATAAGATTTGCCATATCATACAGAGTGAGCCATATCATAAGGTTGCCATATCATACAGAGTGAGCTTAGATTTATCTCTAAATGGCTCAATTTTACTACAATCCAAGATATAGTGTTTGAGTGTGTGTGTCCCTGTCTTTGTCCACATACTTTACACTTTACTTCATCTAGATCCCTATACAAGCCGAACTGCCAGAGATACTTGTAGCCAAGTCTTATACGAGCTGTGACAACATCTGTTAGTCTACTGACTTTGTTACTTGCCCCATACAAATGTTTTACTTCACACATTTCATTGTGATGAACAATGGACCTGCTAGTTCCAGTTTGCACTGTTCTACTTTCTTCAAATCCATCCAGGAGTTCTCGTCTAATGACACTTTTAAGGGACCTATTTGATAACTCAAGATTCCGTTCAATACTGTCTTTATTTACTGCAGCCTTAGCAAGGGCGTCAACTTTGTCATGTTCCTGCAGGCCAATGTGAGAAGGAATCCACAACATTTTGATATTTACCCTCTTGCTAAGTATGATTATATATCAGGCTTCGGAGAGAAGCACGTTATTACTTGATTGCAAACTATTTATTGCTAGTAGTGAGGAAAGGGAGTCAGAAATAATTAAGCTGTCTACTTCAGTGTTGTCAATAATTTTGAGTGCTACCAGTATCGCTACCAACTCGGCTTGCATTGTGGATGGCCAGTTACTAATTCTTATATTCCTTTGAATTGTGCTGCCATCGGGCTGATGAGCAATAACAGCACTTCCTGCCCTCCCTGTAGCTGTATTGAGTGATCCGTCAGTGTATATGATATGTGCAATGTTGTTTTCAGCTTGTATATTGTGAATGTGTTCTATGGTGCTTAATTTAGCAGCAAGCTGAGCATGAGGGTTGTTTGTGATTAGTGTCTTGGTAGGGTATGCAGGGGTCAGGATGTCAAAAGGTACTATCTGCCAGGGTGGAAGGAAGTGCTGTACTCTTTCATCTGTATATACATCGTGCAGTTCCATCATTTTAATATGAGTGGCTGTTCTTTGAATCCATTTAGACTCGCTGGTTCCATTTCGTATGTGTTCTAACAGTGCAACTGACACAATGTTGTTTTTGTTATCACGCAGAAGCTTTAGTCCCATCATAAGATTAATTTCAAATATTCTATCTCTAATACTAAGTATATTTAATTCTTTCCGCTTGTTGAGAACTTTGGTAGTTATAGGACAGCCAAGTATAATTCTGAGTGCTTCATTTTGCATTTTTTCCAGTCTATCAATACTTTTACCATTTTGCAGGACCAAAGGTGGTGCATAATAGTCTCTTTGGGTTTGAACAGTAACCATGCCATAGTTGTTGGAGATGCTGTAGAAGACGTGGTAAAGACAGTAGTAGAAGTACAAACCAGAGCTCAGGTAAAGACTCAGTTGGGACTGGATGACATGTTTAACCCTACACCTGCCCTACAGGTCACGACAGTACTCCAGCTAACTCTTTAGACTCTACTCCAGAACTGAAGCACTGGACTAAAGCAACTTTGATAACCGAGCAAGATAAGGACCTCCACTTGCAAGTACTCGCAGATACCATAGAGTCTGGTGCAAAGGCAGGTGACCAGTACTTCTGGGAGGATAAGGTACTGTGCAGGAGGTATTGACCAAGAACACCCCAAACTCCAGTGAAAGGTACAGAGGTAGTCGTGCCCCCTCAGTGTTCAGGACCAAGGCGTTGGACACAGCCCTGGCTGGATTATAGTATGACATTGTGGGCTTGCGAAAGTTTTTCATCACCTAGCCAGATGTTTCTTCTGTCTTTTGTATTTACCTGCTCTTTTCCATTAGGTCAGAACAGAATGAGTCTCTGGGCCTATCTCCATTCGAGATGGTATATGGTCACACGGTGAGAGGACCATTGGAGGTGATCAATGACCAATGGTCAGACAAAGAGAACTACACGGATGCGTTGGACTGGTTATCTACGCACAAAGGCAAGTTGTTTGCTGCATGGGAACTAGCCAAAGAGAACCTCCTACCTTCTCAGGTAACTAACTGCCAAGAGGAGATACGACAGCAAAGCGACTTCCAGGGAATTTCAAATAGGTGACCAAGTACTGGTATGTTCTCCACTGGTAACTAGAAGCATGAGTGCCAGATTTATTGGTCCTTACCATGTTCTCAAGAAGGATAATTCTAATAACTGTATCCTTGGCACTCCAGACAGAAAGAAGAAGCAGCTGTTGGTACACAAACATGGTGAAGCTGTACCGAGTTCGGGACATTCGCCCAGTGACGATGGTAGTCTCAGGGGACCAATACCAAGAAGTGATGGAGGATGTTGGTAAGCAAGTTACATCGAATTCAGAGATTCTGGTGAATCTTCCTACCAGGCTGACTCATGTGTCTGAGGAGCAACAGAGATCCCTCATGGAGTTAATAAAGCAAAATATGACTATTTTCAGAGATGCTCTAGGTCTGATGTTCGTCTCGAAACACGACGTCATCCTGGAGGAAGGCTGGAGACCGATAATGCAACACCTCTCAGGCTCGATCCCTGCAAGATGGAGGTGGTAAGAGGTGTGATAGATTACATGCTCCAAAATAATTTGATCGCCCCAAGTATTAGTCCGTGGTCGTTCCCTGTTCTGCTAGTAACCAAGCCTGGTAATGAGCATAGGTTATGCATTGATTACAGACAGGTTAATATGGTCAGAGTAGCAGATACTTATCCACTTCCGAGGAAGTGGATAAGTATCTGAGGGGTGTATTGACACCGTCGGTAGGGCCACATACCTAACGAAGTTCAACCTCTTAAAGGGCTATTTTAGCACGCTCTGACAGTGTGCCACACCAACTTCTGCGTTTGTGAGTCCTAATCGCCTATTTGAAAGTCAAGTGATGCCATTTGGAATGAAAAATTCCTGCGATTCATGACTATAAAAATTCCTACATTCCTGCGATTGATGACTATTGTACTACGCGACATAGAGAGCGCGATGGTTTACATAGATGATGTGTTGATCTACGACTCAAACTGGGAAGACCATTTACGCCATATGGAAGCATTCTTTTTGGCAAATTGTTAAGAATTTGTTAAGATATCTTATCTTTTTAGAACATGTGGTTGGAGGAGGATGGATCGCCCCTAAGAACAGCAACGTAGAGCCGTCGTTCAGTATCCGCCGCCGACTCTTTGGCGGGTTTAGGACTGTCAGATAGCTTCTGAGAGCCAAAAGCTATACTAATATCATATCCCCTAATTTCAATGACAGATTCATATTAACCGTCGATGTATCAGACTACGGCATCGGGCAAGAATTTAAATGATTATCAACGGAATCCACAGAGATATTAGAGAAGAACTTTTTTAGTGTCAGAGTGGTTGACAAATGGAAATGCATTAGGAAGTGATGTGGTGGAGGCTGACTCCATACACAGTTTCAAGTGTAGATATGATAGAGCCCAATAGGCTCAGGAATCTGTACACCTGTTGATTGACGGTTGAGAGGCGGGACCAAAGAGCCAAAGCTCAACCCCCGCAAACACAACTAGGTGAGTACAACTAGGTTGTACTCATTTTATATCAGGGCGCCAATTTCCCCTTATTTACAACTTATAATGTAACGTTCTCCCTTAACTGGCCGCCGGTCTGGTCGCCACATATATCATTAGACTCCCTGAACCTCAGAGAATCAGTAGGGAGAGCTGATATGACTCTTTAAGCCGGCAAACGAAAGAAATAGGAGAGGGCACCGTAACAGTACACATACACACACGGCGCTAAGCGCTAGGAGAGGTGGCAGCAAACCAGGTGACCTTGGAAAGATTCGAATTTACAAGAGATGAGGTCAAGGAGCGCCTATTGGAGCTGGACGTGAGAAAAGCTGTTGGGTCGGACGGAATCCCACCAAGGGTATTGAAAGAGTGTGCAGGAGCACTTTGCTTGCCACTCTCCATAGTGTATAGTAGGTCACTGGAAACGGGAGACCTACCAGAAATATGGAAGACGGCTAATGTGGTCCCAATATACAAAAAGGGTGACAGACAAGAGGCACTGAACTACAGGCCAGTGTCCTTAACTTGTATACCATGCAAGGTGATGGAGAAGATTGTGAGAAAAAAAAGTAACACATCTGGAGAGAAGAGACTTCGTGACAACCCATCAACATGGGTTCAGGGAGGGTAAATCTTACCTTACAGGCTTGATAGAATTCTACGATCAGGTGACAGAGATTAAGCAAGAAAGAGAAGGATGGGCGGACTGCATTTTTTTGAACTGTCGGCAAGCCTTTGACACAGTACCCTGTAAAAGGTTGATGCATAAGCTGGAGAAACAGGCAGGAGTAACTGGTAGGGCGCTCCAGTGGATAAGGGAGTACCGAAGCAATAGGAAGCAGAGAGTTACAGTGAGGGGTGAGACCTCAGACTGGCGTGAAGTAACCAGTGGAGTCCCACAGGGCTCTGTACTCGGTCTTATCCTGTTTCTGATTTACGTAAATGATCTCCCAGAGGGTATAGACTCATTCCTCTCAATGTTTGCTGACAACGCCAAAATTATGGATTAAGACAGAAGAGGACAGCTTGAGGCTTCAAGAAGACCTGGACAAGCTGCAGGAATGGTCGAACAAATGGTTGTTAGAGTTTAACCCAAGCAAATGTAATGTAATGAAGATAGGGGTAGGAAGCAGGAGACCAGATACAAGGTATCATTTGGGAGATGAGATACTTCAAGAGTCAGAGAGAGAGAAAGACCTGGGGGTTGATATCACGCCAGACCTGTTCCCTGAAGCTCATATCAAGAGGATAACATCAGCAGCATATGCCAGGTTGGCTAACATAAGAACGGCCTTTAGAAACTTGTGTAAGGACTCTTTTTAGAACATTATACACCACATATGTCAGACCAATCCTCGAGTATGCGGCTCCAACATGGAGTCCATATCTAGTCAAGCATAAGACTAAACTGGAAAAGGTTCAAAAGTTTGCCACCTGACTAGTACCCGAGCTGAGAGGTATGAGCTACGAGGGGAGACTACGAGAATTAAACCTCACCTCGTTGGAAGACAGAAGAGTTAGGGGGACATGATTACCATATTCAAGATTCTCAAGGGAATCGACAGGGTTGATAAAGACAGGCTATTTAACACAAGGGGCACACGCACTATGGGACACAGGTGGAAACTGAGTGCCCAAATGAGCCACAGAGATATTAGAAAGAACTTTTTTAGTGTCAGAGTGGTTGACAAATGGAATGCATTAGGAAGTAATGTGGTGGAGGCTGACTCCATACACAGTTTCAAGTGTAGATATGATAGAGCCCAATAGGCTCAGGAACCTGTACACCTGTTGATTGACGGTTGAGAGGCGGGACCAAAGAGCCAGAGCTCAACCCCCGCAAGCACAACTAGGTGAGTACAACTAGGTGAGTACACACACACACACACACACACACACACACACACACACACACACACACGCACACACGCACACGCACACGCACACGCACACGCACACGCACACAGACACAGACACACACAGACACACACACACAGACACACACAGACACACACGTGAACTGGCAGAAAGGGTGCAAGAAGAAAACCCTGATGTAATAGGACTAACGGAAACAAAATTGTCAGGAGTCATAACAGATGCTGTGTTTCCAAAGGACTACTATATAGTAAGGAAAGAGAGGGAAGGGAGAGGAGGTGGAGGAGTGGCCCTGCTGATAAGGAAGGACTGGAGTTTTGATGAGATGGAAATTCTGGGCTGTGACGGATTCAGAGATTACATAACAGGAACTATAACAATGGGTGGACCTAAGATAATAGTGACAGTCATTTACAATCCTCCCCTAAATGATAGAAGACCTAGACAGGAGTTTGATAGGAACAACATGGCAACCATTAATATAATAGAGAGAGCAGATTCAGTTGCCTGCAGGAATGGCTCAAGACTCTTAATCATAGGCGATTTCAACCATGGAAAGATAGACTGGGAGAATGGGGACCCACATGGTGGTGCAGATACGTGGAGAGCTAAACTCTTGGAAGTGGCAACAAGGAATTTTCTGAACCAGCATGTCAAGGAACCCACAAGAGTGAGAGGCAATGATGAACCAGCTAGACTCGACTTGATATTGACCCTGAATGAGTCAGAAATAAGGGAAGTCAAAGTTGAAGCCCCCATAGGAATGAGTGACCACATTGTACTGACCTTTGAGTACTTGGTGGAGGTAGGGATAACCTATCCAAGGATGGGAGCGGAGGGAAAAAGACTGAATTACCGAAGAGGAAAATATGACAAGATGAGGAACATCCTCAGGGGAATACCATGGGAAACAGAACTTAGAGACAAGAATGTGCAGGTCATGATGGATTTTGTCACCCAAAAGTGCCAGGAAGCTGCAGACAGGTTTATCCCCGTCCAAAAGGAGAAAAACGAAAAACAACAGAAAAACCCATGGTTCAACCAGGAATGCAAGGTAGTAAAAGAACATGGAGAAACTACAGAAATAACAGAACACCAGAGAGCAGGGAGAGGTACCAGAGGGCCAGAAATGAGTACCTCAGAGTGAGGAGAGAAGCAGAGAGACAGTTTGAAAATGACATCGCGAGTAAAGCCAAGACCCAACCAAAGCTGCTCCACAGCCACATCAGGAGGAACACAGCAGTGAAGGAACAAGTGATGAAGCTGCAGAAAGGGAAGAACAGATACACAGAGAATGACAAGGAAGTGTGTGAAGAACTCAACAAGAGATTCCAGGAGATCTTCACAATAGAACAAGGAGAAGCCCCTAAACTAAGTGAGGAGGCGGCAAACCAAGCAACCTTGGAGGAATTTGACCTTACCGGTGATGAGGTCAAAAGGTGTCTGCTGGAGCTGGATGTGACAAAGGCTGTTGGGCCTGATAGAATCTCACCATGGATACTAAAGGAAGGTGCAAAAGCACTAAGTGTGCCACTCTCTATGGTTTATAACAGGTCACTGGAAACAGGAGACTTACCAGAAAGTTGGAAGACAGCTAACGTGGTCCCAATATACAAGATGGGTGACAGGCAAGTTACACTAAACTACAGGCCAGTTTCCTTAACTTGTATACCATGCAAGGTGATGGAGAAGATCGTGAGGAAAAGGCTCGTAGAGCATCTGGAGGGAAATAACTTTGTAACGCACTACCAACATGGGTTCAGCGATGGTAAATCGTGCCTCACAGGTTTATTAGAATTTTATGACCAGGCAACAAAAATTAGGCGGGAAAGAGAAGGGTGGGCCGACTGCATTTTCCTGGCCTGTCAAAAGCCTTTGACACAGTACCCCATAAAAGACTGTTAAAAAAGT